CGTTTTGGAAGCGTGAGAAGCAAACAGTGTTTTGAGGATTGTCTGGGTGGAAAGGCAGGACCGGGTGGTGTGGCCGCCCCTTGACCTGTAGCTGGTGGTCCTGGAGCGTGGTGAGTGTGCTCGCCTCCACGGGTCCTGCTGGGGCTCTAGCCCGGCCCGTTTCCGCTTCTGCCGCTGGGGCTTGCTTGGCTGGATTCCTTAACGCACACACACCTGAACCTGCAGACCAAGCCCGTGGACCCGACTGTGGAGGGGGGTGCGCAGGTGCAGCAGGTGGTCAACATAGAGTGCGTGTCTGACTTCACGGAGGCGCCAGTCCTCAACATTCAGTTCAGGTAAGAGCCATCTGTGCGCCCCGGGCCAAAGATTGTGTGGGCGCCTGAGCTGTGTGCCTGGGCTCCATGACTGTGCCCCCATGTCCTTCCTGAGGGGACCCAGGGCATGTGGGTACTCATGGTGCATGGATGCGACCTGAGCTGTTGCTGCCCTCAGCTCTGCAGAGCGCAGGAAACAAGGGGAGGTGAAGCCCTGGGCTGTGGGATGGCAGGTGGCAGCTCCCACATGGGGCCTTGCTAGGATCTTTCTGGGCACAACGGGGCCTACCTCATGGGGTAGCAGACAGCCAGGGCCACATGCCACCTGCCCGGCTTGGTACCAGACAACCGCTGCGAGGTGAAGGCAGCTGGCTTCCTTCGGACCCTGGCCTGAGGGGTGCGTTTTTTGCACAGTTGGACTCAGATCATACCACTTTGCTTATTTTTTAAAAGCAGGAGATTTTCCTGTTGCAACTGTTGCTTACTCTCACTTTTCAGTGGCTACAATAGCGTGTACACGGTCAGCGCGTACCCTGCTGGGTGTCTGCAAGGTTATGAATGTTGAGAAAAGCACACTTTCTAACATTAAAAATACAGAGAACTTAAGGATTGTATACCGTAGAATTTGGGGACATAGACATGCAAATTTTTGTTTCATTCTTTGTGCAAATGCCTTTGCCTTTTTAAAGAAAAAAAAAATCACACTATTTGCACAGACTTGGAGTTCTGAGAAACAGATAGATGGGGAGAAGTGAGGCACAGGGGCGTCCTGCCTGTGTACGCGGCCCTGGCCTATCCTGTCTGTGGGTGACACTGTACACTGAGCCACACATGATCTGTGGAGACTCAAGGCTCGGCTCCCCACGCTCTGGTGGGTGGCGGTAGGTGGGGACGCTTCTCACTCCAGGCTCTTTTCCGGCCCCTGGGGCTCTCAGAGGAGGAGCTGACTGTCCCTCGGCTCTTTCCTGGCCCCTGGGGCTCTCAGAGGAGGAGCTGACTGTCCCTTGGCTCTTTCCTGGCCCCTGGGGCGCTCAGAGGAGGAGCTGACTGTCTCTTTCTGCTGCTGCTGGCAGGTATGGGGGCACCTTCCAGAACGTGTCTGTGCAGCTGCCCATCACTCTCAACAAATTCTTCCAGCCGACAGAAATGGCTTCTCAGGATTTCTTTCAACGTTGGAAGCAGTTGAGCAAGTGAGAAACCTGTTGTCCTGTAGGGGTCGGGGGTGGGGATGGGGGTCATTTGAACAGATGGGCTTTGGTCTCTGGCCTGGCTGAGAAACTCGCCTTTGCTGTTTCTCACAGTCCACAGCAGGAGGTGCAGAACATCTTCAAAGCAAAGCACCCAATGGACACAGAAGTCACCAAAGCCAAGGTAGGGCATCTGGAGGGACGGCCCCGGGGACACGCTGCCTGCAACCCAGCGCCAGGGTCTGGAGGGACGGCCCCGGGGGACGCGCTGTCCGTGACCCAGCGCCAGGGTCTGGAGGGATGGCCCCGGGGGACCTGCTGCTCAAGACCCAGCACCAGGGTCTGGAGGGACGGCCTTGGGGACACGCTCCCCGCCACCCAGTGCCAGGATCTGGAGGGGTGGCCCCGGGGGACATGCTGCCCGCAACCCAGCGCCGGGGTCTGGAGGGATGGCCCTGGACGTGCTGCCTGTGACCCCGCTCCAGGATCATCATTCTCCTGTTTCTTTGAACAGATCATTGGATTTGGTTCTGCACTTCTTGAAGAAGTTGATCCTAATCCTGCAAATTTCGTGGGAGCTGGAATCATCCACACGAAAACCACCCAGATCGGATGCCTGCTACGCCTGGAGCCGAACCTGCAAGCCCAGGTCAGGCCCTCAGGAAATGGCTGAACACACTTGAGTTGCTTTTTATTCTGGCACAATGTACATGGTGAGATGTGTAGCTCTTTAGAGCAGTTCGGTCAGTTTTGATAGATGTTGTGTGCCCGTTTAACCACCACCCTGTCAATACATGGTTGCATCCCAGTCTCCCCACAGCTGGCCACCTGGAGCATTGTCCCGCCACAGAGCATCCTGGCCCTGGGCGATGGCTCTCCCAGCTGTTCCTCTCTGTCACCGCGTTGTTCCTTCTCGCCACGTCCCATTCTGTCGACAGACACCTGTCTCCGTTTCACTCGGGCGGCACCCGGGAATGCCGCTGCTGCCCAGGGCCTGTGTGTGGTTAGCGCTACAAGAAGCTGTGCCACTTCACACTCCCGCCAGCTACGTACGAGGTGCCAGGCGCTCCCGTGCCAGCCCTCAGTTTTCATGCTGACAGTGTGTGTGGTGCTCAGGCCTCTGCCGAGCTGTGGGTGCCTCCAGAGAGCGGTCCCTGGGCGTGGCCCACAGGGTTCTGCATGGCGGGTCCTGGACCCGAGGGCTGTGTGAGCCTTGGCATGCCCGCTGACCCGCTGCGCTCTCCGTTTCAGATGTACCGGCTCACGCTGCGGACGAGTAAGGAAGCCGTTTCTCAGAGATTATGTGAATTGCTGTCCGCGCAGTTTTAGTCTTGAGGATGGAAGACCAGGCCCGTGTGTCTTGCGTTGTCTTCGTCTGTGCTGTTTGTCTTCGTGGCCGTCCTGCAGATGAGCACCCCCGCTGCCCCAGACCTCTCCCCTTTGGGCTGGACAGGAACACACGTGTGTGGCTCAGGAAGAAAAGCTCAGCCTGGACTGCGGCAGCCGCGGCAGAAGGTGGATCTTGGGATCAGTTTTTATAAAAATCAAGACAGTTCTGTGGTTCAATCTACAAATTAAAGGGAAATTAGAAGTTGGCGTGAACGTGGCGTTTGTGGGAGTGTCACTGAGATGGCCCGTGCTGCCGCCCACCCCGCCTCGGAGCCTCTGGGAGCAGCAGTGCCGCCGCGTGTGGCGTGGGCTGAGCCTTGGTGTGTGGCTGTTCTGGTGGCTGCACACCTGGCATCGTCCTGGGCCCTTGGGAGGAGCACGGCCGCCCCTGGTTTTGCTGCAGTCCCAGCTGGACAGTTTTCCCAGGCAGGATTTTAATCTGGACTTCAGAAGCATTTGTATTTGTGATGACTTCTGGCCAGACCACGTGTCCTGGCTGGATGTAATTGTTTTCCCAGCTCCTGTTCGTGGAGGGTGTCTGTTTTGCTCCTGCAGTCCCCGAGGCCTTAGATGTGCAGCCAGGGAAGGAGCGTCCTGCTGGCCCCGCGGGGCCCCCAGGACTCTGGGGTAAAGCGTGGGCTGGTGGCTCAGACTCAGGTGTGCTCGTCTCTCTCCTGTCAAGAGTGGGTGTCCCCAGGCCACGGTGCAGGCTTGAATGCTTCCACTGGCCCCGTCCAATCATCCCTGGAGGGGCTGTGGAGGAGGGAAGCCTTTGTGTCGTCAGGAAGTGAAGGGGCCATGGGCCACACACTGTGTGCCACCTGCGGCTTGTGTCTCGCCTGTCGTCTGGACTCAGCACCCAGGCTGCACGTCTGACACCTGAGAGGCGAGAGAGTGGGGCTGGCCTAGGAGCCGAGGCTGGGGCCCTGTGCTCTGTCCCCAGGACGGTGGCCTTGTTTGTCCTAAACACACCCAGCATGGGTTCCGGCTTCCTGACGTGCTGTGGAGGCAGGGAGGGTGGGTGGCCACATGTGCTTGAGCCTGGCCCTCAGCCACCTGCTCCACGGGTCCCTGGGGCAGCTGCACGGGCTCATGGACCCATCAGGTCTCCACAGCTCCCCTGCAGTGTGTGCAGCCCACGATGTCTGTGGCTCTCCTTCCAGCGTGTCGGACTTTGATCACAGGATAGCCATGTCGGTGGCGTGCGCCTCTTGCACTGGCCATTCTGGGTCTGGCGGTGCCAGGTGTCATGACACGCCGCGCTGGGCTTGTGCTGCAGCTGGGTGGTGTGGCCCTCATTCTTGTGTTCCAGCTGCTGGGCAGTGCTCTGCCCGTGTGCTGCGCCTGCCGGCTGCGTGTGCTGCCATGGATCTCCTGCGTCCCTTGACCCCTCCCGCCATCAGAGGAAAGGCCGCTCCCCGCGGCACCACTTCCCTGTGTGGCTGCAGAGGGGCCCTCAGTGTGGCACTCCTCGTCAAAGAAAAATAAAGGCTAGAACAGCACCCCAGATTGTGCGCTTTCTTTGGGGGGAAAGCATCCCACGTAACCCTCAGCTCCCCGGGGGCCGTGTGAGGCACAGACCCCAAAGTCCCTGGCCTGTCCTTTGGCACGTGGGCTCACAGGCAGTGGGCATCAGAAAGTGACCTGCCCTTTGCTCTGCCAGTTTGATTCTGGGCGTGTGGTGGAATTTTTTGGGACTCAGGTCATGCGGGAACCCCTCCAGCCTGGCCTCAGGGCTCCCCGCTGTCCAGTGTGTTGGGGTGCAGCCCAGGGCTCCCTCCTGGGGAACGGGCTTGCCAAACCACGTGGGTATGAGGAGGCTCCGTGGGGGATCCTCCTGTTGATCTGACTACAGAAGGGGCTCTCGGGCAGATGGGGGTGGCCCCTGGAGGACGGTGGGCTTCGCCAGAGATAGGACAGTCCTGGTGGAGGGAGGGCAGGGGCCCAAGGCCAGAGGCAGCTGCTTTTCCCAGCCCAGACCCTCCTGGGGGCAGCCCCACCCAACCTCAGATCCCAGGGGCCCACAGGGTGCAGGTGTGGGTCGGGTGCCTAATGTCTAAGGGACTGGGGAGAGGCAAAAGCAGGGCTCAAGTGCTCAGGGACCAGCCTCTGTGCCTTGACAAGAACCAGTTTATTTGGAGTCTCTGGCCGGGTGACGCCCTCTCCCGAGGACAAGCTGCTGGGGACAGGTGTGGTGCTGGCCGGGGCCTTCTGCCTGGCTGGGAGCAGGGGTGGCTGCCCTGCCCTCGCTGCCACCCTCTGCCCTCCCTGACTCTGGGGAGCTCCTCTTCTCTGTGTCGGTGGCTGCCTGGGCCTCTTGCCCCCATCTCCGCACAGGTCCTGACGGGTCTGGTCCAGCGCCTGCTCTGGCCTCATCTGCAGGGTTCTGGGCGCAGCAGGGCTGGGGCCAAGTTCAAGGGCTGGGAGGTGTTGGATGGCAGACAGGTGGTCGGGAGTGCCCTGTGTGCCTGGGAGGGTGCGTGGCCACTGCCCGCCTCAGTCCCTCTCTGCTGGCTCAGGGTCTGCAGGGGTGTGGTGGTCTGGGCCTCTGCTTGGCAGCCCCTCTCCCACCGGTGCCCCAGGTGAGCCACAGCTGGGGGCACTTGCGGACCAGGCCTGGTGACCAGGAAAGCAGCTGCCGGCACAAGTGGGAGGGGGGCCGGCGGGTGTTTGTCCTGTCGGTCATCTGCAGTCCTTCAGCCCCAGGAGAGCGGGCAGCGACCCTGCTAGGCTCCACAGGCCACAGAGCTGCACTCGCAGCGGCTGAACACCTGCAGGGTGAGTACGAGCTGCCGGCCAGGCGCGCTGGGGTCTGGGCAGGGCAGCTCCACCTGCTGCTCATAGGAGTGGAGGGGGCGGCAGCAGCCGCAGTGGGCGTCCACCTGCTGGGTGATGGTGTTGTAACTGCCGAGAAGCCAAGACAGAGCAGGGTCATGGGTGCTGCAGGGGCAAAAGGCCCCTCCCTCCCCAGGGCAGCTGCTCCACAGAGGCCTGGACCTCCCCGCTGAGCTCCCGGCTCACAGGGGCCAAGGCTGGTGTTGGGCAGATGGAGCGCAGAGTGGCTAACCTGACGGGGCAGCAAGCGCCTGGGTGGGGAGCCCGAACCTGCCCTGGTGCCTCTCTGGGGTGGGGTTGTGAGCACCTTGCTGGACGTGGGGCAGGCCTCCCGCCTGTGGACTCACCTGGCGGCAGAAATGCAGGTGCCCTCACAGCGGGTTACCGTCACGTTCGCCGTGCATCCCTTGAACGTGATCTCCTCCTGCTGCTCCTGCACGCTGCAGACCCCTGGGAGCCGAGTGGACGGTCAGCAGCGCTCAGGGTGGACATGGAGCGAGGAGGGAGGGAAGCCCTGGCTAGAGACCGGGGTCCCCACCTGTCTCTGGACTCTCCTGCCCTAGGTGTGGTCTTCCTTTGTGGAGCCCCACAGAGCTCAGACCTCAGCCATACCCAAAGGCAAAGGCCAGCAGCATCCTAGTTTGTTTTTTCCCCTCAAAGTCGCTCTGCTGGAGTCCATCAAGGTAGAGAATTTTCTCAGTGGACTCAGCAGATACTGAGCCCCGGGCCTGTGTGAGCCACCCCTGGGCCCCAGCTTCCCTGATGCCCCACCCCAGGCCTCGACACCGACCTGTGGGCATGGGTATCTCTGGCTGGCCGGACCCAGGACCTGCAGGGGGGCCGAGGACACCGTGTCAGTGACGCCAGAGAGGGGGACAAGTGGTGTCGTGGGAGCTCCATGTGCCCCAGCTGGGGAGGAGGGAAGTGGAGCAGGCCCCGTGGTCTGGGCTCCTGGAAGGGGCGGGGTGGGGAACCGTGTGGAAGGCCCAGACAGCCAGCCTCAGTGAGAGGCCTGGGCCCGTGGTAGGCAGCACGGAGCAGGGTGGACTGATGCAGGCAGTGGCAGCATCGGCATTAGAAACCGCCACTGCGGAGCGTGGGTTAAAGTGGAAAAGGAGTCCTGGGGTAAAGGCTGAACTCTGCTGCCTGTGTGCCCTCCCCTGGCTGTGCCCAGCTTCATTTCCTGGCCACAGAGAAGACAGGTCGCCTGGAACCTACCTGCCCGCTGCAGAGAGCTTTCTCCAGGAGGGGGCAGGACTATGTGTGCCTCCACAGGCCCTGCCGTCCCCAGCTGCCCTCCCCTCCCAGATGGTTCCTGCTCCCTCACCTCTGCTTCTTGGGGCCACCTCCCCGGTTACAGCTTGCACCCAAGTCCTGGTCTCAGGGAGGGACCCAAACCAAGATTCCCTCAGCCTGCAGCAACGAGCTGCTACCCACGTGAGAGACCACGAAGCCAACCGTGGCGTTGCCACCTGGTGGAGGTCGATGCATGCGAGGGACCCAGTCCCTGGGTGGTTGCTGTGAGAGGAACACCCAGGAGGGAAGTGAGGGACATCCCAGGAACGTGAGGTTAGGTGGACGTGGACGAGGCCTGAGGTGTGTTCTGTCTCCAGGCATCTCATGGCCTGGGGAGCAGTGGACTCGCTCATAGGCATGAGACCAGGTGGAGGCCGGGAAGAGCCGTGGCCCGGAGAATTGGCATGAGTACCAAGGAGCAGGTGCCCTGGTTGCCAGGTCCAGCTTCACCTTCAACAGGTCCTTCGGGGCGAGGCAGGGGCTGTGCCGGACCTTTATGTCTCTTTCTGCACTTGGAGGAAGGGCTGTGCTGCTTGAACCCTGGGGTCCGGCCAGCCCTGACATCCTCTGAGCACCCAAAGGGGCAGCCGGGGAAGGCTTTTGGCAGGTATCACTCTGAGGGGAGGCCAGGAGTGCAGCAGTGACCGGGGCATGAGTGAGCCAGTGCAGGGAAAGGTCAAGGTTAGCTGGGGAAAGGCCAACGGGGAGGCCGGACACTTGCTTGGCCAAGAAAGCGTTGGCATAGAGGGTGCCCAAGAGAGGAGAGGGGAAAAACCCATTAGGCGTGTAGGGAAGGTGGGGAACAGGCATGTGGTCCTGGGATCATAGGACCATGAGGGGTAAACTGAGGCAGTGGCTGCCTGTGAGTCACGAGCACAGAGGTGAGGCCAGCAGGAGGGCCACAGAGATGCCACTTACCAGGTGAGGTGGGTGTAGGTGTCCCGAGAGAAGATACCGGGGCAGAAGCAGGGGCGCTTCCATGCGCAGTGAGGGAGCTGGTCAGGAACTGCGTGGTAGGCAGTGAGGTGGGACCAGGGTGCCTGGTGGTAAGGTTGGTGAGTGGAGAGCTAGGGATACCCGTCACCCCCGAGGTGAGTGACACAAAGCCTGACGTGGGAACTCGGGTGGTGAGAGAAGTGGACCGCGAGGTGGTGGACTGAGAGGAGAAGGCAGGGGTGGTGTGGGTGCTGGCCGTGGTCCTGGGCGTGGACGGAAATGCAGCGGAGCTGGAGGCTTGGTGACTGGATGGGGTGGGAGACACAGTAAGAGTGGATATGGGGAGTAGAGCAGAGGAGGTGAAAGGAGAGGAGATAGTGTGGGGGAGAGAGGCCCTAATGGTGGTAGAGGCAGCTGGAGAAGAAGGAAAAAGAGGAGATGCAGACCCTGACGCAGTTGTGGGATGAGTGAAGAACGAGGAGTGTGAGCTCGAGCTCAGGGTTGTGGAGTGCACGGAGGTGGACACGACAGAGGAAGATGTACCAGCTGAAGATGAAGTCTGGGGAGAGGAGTGGGAGGAAGGTACATGAGAAGAAACAGAAGACTGGGCAGAAGGAGTGGGAGAAAATGAGGAGGACAGCTGATTAGTTGTAGAAACAGGAGTGGTTGCAGAACTGAAGTGGGGGAGTTGTGTGGTGGCAGAAGGTGGTGACGGTGGCCTTGAGCTAGAGTTCGGAGGCCGCCACGAGGAGGAGGATATGAAGGAAGAAGAGGCTGTGGTTGTGCTGAATGAGCTGTGGGCTTGGCTGGTCCCACTGGTAGTCACTGTCATTGATGGGGCTGTGTGGGTGGACCCTGTGGCCTTGACCGTTGTCGGTGGAGAAATGGTGCCTGTTGGCATTGTAGGGATGGAGGAGAAAGTGGACATCTCTGGGAGGATAGGGGTGATGACTATGTGAGTAGTTGGAGTCACCAAGGAGGTGGAGAAAGGTGGAACGTGAGTGGGAAGTGTGGTCTGAGGGTGTGATGGGGTTGGATAGGTAGTGGTGATCTTGAAGGATGTTGCAGTCGTAGGACCTGTGGAAGAGACGGGACTGCTCCCTGTAGGTGGGGAGTGTGTGGTGAAGGGTGTGGGTAGCCTGCTGCTGGTGGCCAAGGTGGTGTGGACCACAGGGGTGCCGGTTCCTGTAGTGGTGGGGTTGGGGGTGATGGTGGTAGAAGTTGGGGTGACTTCAGGATGGTGTGTGGAGGAAGAGTGTGAATGTAGGGATGTAGAGGTTTTGGCTGTGCTGAATGAGCTCAGGGCTTGGCTGGTCCCACTGGTGGTTGCCGTCATTGGTGGGGCTGTGTGGGTGGACCCTGTGGCATTGACTGTTGTAGGTGGAGAAATGGTGCCTGTTGGCATTGAATGGATGGAGGCAGAAGTGGACACCTGTGTTTGGGTAGGTGTGATGACTGTGTGAGTAGTTGGAGTCACCAAGGAGGTGGAGAAAGGTGGAACGTGAGTGGGAAGTGTGGTCTGAGGGTGTGATGGGGTTGGATAGGTAGTGGTGGTCTTGAAGGATGTTGCAGTGATAGGACCTGTGGAAGAGACGGGACTACTCTCTGTAGGTGGGGAGTGTGTGGTGAAGGTTGTGGGTAGCCTGCTGCTGGTGGCCAAGGTGGTGTGGGCCACAGGGGTGCTGGTTCCTGTACTGGTGGGGTTGGGGGTGATGGTGGTAGAAGTTGGGGTGACTTCAGGATGGTGTGTGGAGGAAGTGTGTGAATGTAGGGATGTAGAGGTTTTGGCTGTGCTGAATGAGCTCAGGGCTTGGCTGGTCCCACTGGTAGTTGCCGTTATTGGTGGGGCTGTGTGGGTGGACCCTGTGGCACTGACTGTTGTAGGTGGAGAAATGGTGCCTGTTGGCGTTGAGTGGATGGAGGTAGAAGTGGACATCTGTGCGTGGGTAAGGGTGATGACTGTGTGAGTAGTTGGAGTCACCAAGGAGGTGGAGAAAGGTGGAACGTAAGTGGAAAGTGTGGTCTGAGGGTGTGATGGTGTTGGATAGGTAGTGGTGATCTTGAAGGATGTTGCAGTCATAGGACCTGTGGAAGAGACGGGACTGCTCCCTGTAGCTGGGGAGTGTGTGGTGAAGATTGTGGGTAGCCTGCTGCTGGTGGCCGAGGTGGTGTGGGCCACAGGGGTGCCGGTGCCTGTACTGGTGGGATTGGGAGTAATCGTGGTGGTAGAAGTTGGGGTGACTTCAGGATGGTGTGCGGAGGAAGTGTGTGACTGTAGGGGTGTAGAGGTTTTGGCTGTGCTGAATGAGCTGTGCACTTGGCTGGTCCCACTGGTGGTCGCTGTCATTGGTGGGGCTGTCTGAGTGGACCCTGTAGCCTTGACCGTTGTCGGTGGAGGAATGGTGCCTGTTGGCGTTGAGTGGATGGAGGTAGAAGTGGACATCTGTGTGTGGGTAGGGGTGATGACTATGTGAGTAGTTGGAGTCACCAAGGAGGTGGAGAAAGGTGGAACGTGAGTGGGAAGTGTGGTCTGAGGGTGTGATGGGGTTGGATAGGTAATTGTGGTCTTGAACGATGTTGCAGTCATTGTACCTGTGGAAGAGACGGGAGTGCTCCCTGTAGCTGGGGAGTGTGTGGTGAAGGGTGTAGGTGGCTCGCTGCTGGTGACTGAGGTGGTGTGGGCCACAGGGGTGCCAGTTCCTGTACTGGTGGGATTGGGGACGATGATGGTAGAAGTTAGGGTGACTTCAGGATGGTGTGTGGAGGAAGTGTGTGAATGTAGGGGTGTAGAGGTTTTGGCTGTGCTGAATGAGCTCAGGGCTTGGCTGGTCCCACTGGTGTTTGCTGTGATTGGTGGGGCTGTGTGGGTGGACCCTGTGACCTTGACCGTTGTCGGTGGAGGAATGGTGCCTATTGGCACTGAGTGGATGGAGGAGGAAGTGGACATCTGCGCGTGTGTAGGGGTGATGACAGTGTGAGTAGTTGGAGTCACCAAGGAGGTGGAGAAAGATGGACCGTGAGTGGGAAGTGTGGTCTGAGGGTGTGATGGGGTTGGATAGGTAGTGGTGGTCTGGAAGGATGTTGCAGTCATAGGACCTGTGGAAGAGACGGGACTACTCTCTGTAGGTGGGGAGTGTGTGGTGAAGGTTGTGGGTAGCCTGCTGCTGGTGGCCGAGGTGGTGTGGACCACAGGGTTGCCGGTTCCTGTACTGGTGGGTTTGGGGGTGATGGTGGTAGAAGTTGGGGTAACTTCAGGATGGTGTGTGGAGGAAGTGTGTGACTGTAGGGGTGTAGAGGTTTTGGCTGTGCTGAATGAGCTGTGCGCTTGGCTGGTCCCACTGGTGGTCGCTGTCATTGGTGGGGCTGTCTGAGTGGACCCTGTAGCCTTGACCGTTGTCGGTGGAGGAATGGTGCCTGTTGGCGTTGAGTGGATGGAGGTAGAAGTGGACATCTGTGTGTTGGTAGGGGTGATGACTATGTGAGTAGTTGGAGTCACCAAGGAGGTGGAGAAAGGTGGAACGTGAGTGGGAAGTGTGGTCTGAGGGTGTGATGGGGTTGGATAGGTAATTGTGGTCTTGAACGATGTTGCAGTCATTGTACCTGTGGAAGAGACGGGAGTGCTCCCTGTAGCTGGGGAGTGTGTGGTGAAGGGTGTAGGTGGCTCGCTGCTGGTGACTGAGGTGGTGTGGGCCACAGGGGTGCCAGTTCCTGTACTGGTGGGATTGGGGACGATGATGGTAGAAGTTAGGGTGACTTCAGGATGGTGTGTGGAGGAAGTGTGTGAATGTAGGGGTGTAGAGGTTTTGGCTGTGCTGAATGAGCTCAGGGCTTGGCTGGTCCCACTGGTGTTTGCTGTGATTGGTGGGGCTGTGTGGGTGGACCCTGTGACCTTGACCGTTGTCGGTGGAGGAATGGTGCCTATTGGCACTGAGTGGATGGAGGAGGAAGTGGACATCTGCGCGTGGGTAGGGGTGATGACAGTGTGAGTAGTTGGAGTCACCAAGGAGGTGGAGAAAGGTGGAATGTGAGTGAAAAGCGTGGTCTGAGGGTGTGATGGTGTTGGATAGGTAGTGGTGGTCTGGAAGGATGTTGCAGTGATAGGACCTGTGGAAGAGATGGGAGTGCTCTCTGTAGGTGGGGAGTGTGTGGTGAAGGTTGTGGGTAGCCTGCTGCTGGTGGACGAGGTGGTGTGGGCCACAGGGGTGCTGGTTCCTGTACTAGTGGTGTTGGGGGTGATGGTGGTAGAAGTTGGTGTGACTTCAGGATGGTGTGTGGAAGAAGTGTGTGAATGTAGGGATGTAGAGGTTTTGGCTGTGCTGAATGAACTCGGGGCTTGGCTGGTCCCACTGGTGGTAGCTGTCATTGGTGGGGCTGTGTGCGTGGATGCTGTGGCCTTGACTGTTGTCACTGGAGGAATGGTTCCTGTTGGCCCTGAGGGGATGGAGGAGGAAGTGAACACCTGTGCGTGGGTGGGGGTGATGACTGTGTGAGTAGTTGGAGTCACCAAGGAGGTGGAGAAAGGTGGAACATGAGTGAGAAGTGTGGTCTGAGGGTGTGATGGTGTTGGATAGGTAGTGGTGGTCTGGAAGGATGTTGCAGTGATAGGACTTGTGGAAGAGATGGGACTACTTTCTTTAGGTGGGGAGTGTGTGGTGAAGGGTGTGGGTAGCCTGCTGCTGGTGGCTGAGGTGGTGTGGGCCACAGGAGTGCCAATTCCTGTAGTGGTGGGATTGGGGGTGATGGTAGTAGAAGTTGGAGTGACTTCAGGATGGTGTGTGGAGGAGGTGTGTGAATGTAGGGGTGTAGAGGTTTTGGCTGTGCTGAATGAGCTGTGGGTGTGGCTGTTCCCACTGGTGGTTGCCGTTATTTGTGGGGATGTGTGGGTGGACCCTGTGGCCTTGACTGTTGTCGGTGGAGGAATGGTGCCTGTTGGCGTTGAGTGGATGGAGGTAGAAGTGGACATCTGGGCGTGGGTAGGTGTGATGACTGTGTGAGTAGTTGGAGTCACCAAGGAGGTGAAGAAAGGTGGAACGTGAGTAGGAAGTGTAGTCTGAGAGTGTGATGGTGTTGGATAGGTAGTGGTGGTCTGGAAGGATGTTGCAGTCATAGGACCTGTGGAAGAGACGGGAGTGCTCTCTGTAGGTGGGGAGTCTGTAGTAAAGGTTGTGGGTAGCCTGCTGCTGGTGGACGAGGTGGTGTGGGCCACGGGGGTGCCGGTTCCTGTACTGGTGGAGTTGGGGGTGATGGTGGTAGAAGTTGGTGTGACTTCAGGATGGTGTGTGGAAGAAGTGTGTGAATATAGGGATGTAGAAGTTTTGGCTGTGCTGAATGAACTTGGGGCTTGGCTGGTCCCACTGGTGGTCACCGTCATTGGTAGTGCTGTGTGGGTGGACCCTGTGGCCTTGACCGTTGTTGGTGGAGGAATGGTGCCTGTTGGCGTTGAGTGGATGGAGGTAGAAGTAGACCTCTGTGCATCGGTAGGGGTGATGACTGTGTGAGTAGTTGGAGTCACCAAGGAGGTGGAGAAAGGTGGAACGTGAGTTGGAAGTGTGGTCTGAGGGTGTGATGGGGTTGGATAGGTAGTGGTGATCTTGAAGGATGTTGCAGTGATAGGACCTGTGGAAGAGACAGGACTGCTCTCTGTAGGTGAGGAGTGTGTGGTGAAGGTTGTGGGTAGCCTGCTGCTGGTGGCCGAGGTGGTGTGGGCCACAGGGGTGCCGGTTCCTGTACTGGTGGGTTTGGGGGTGATCGTGGTGGTAGAAGTTGGGGTGACTTCAGGATGGTGTGTGGAAGAAGTTTGTAAATGTAGGGATGTGGAGGTTTTGGCTGTGCTGAATGAGTTCGGGGCTTGGCTGGTCCCACTGGTGGTAGCTGTCATTGGTGGGGCTGTGTGCGTGGATGCTGTGGCCTTGACTGTTGTCACTGGAGGAGTGGTTCCTGTTGGCCCTGAGGGGATGGAGGAGGAAGTGAACACCTGTGCGTGGGTAGGGGTGATGACTGTGTGAGTAGTTGGAGTCACCAAGGAGGTGGAGAAAGGTGGAACGTGAGTGGGAAGTGTGGTCTGAGGGTGTGATGGGGTTGGATAGGTAGTGGTGGTCTGGAAGGATGTTGCAGTGATAGGACTTGTGGAAGAGACAGGACTGCTTTCTGTAGGTGGGGAGTGTGTGGTGAAGGGTGTGGGTAGCCTGCTGCTGGTGGCCGAGGTGGTGTGGGCCACAGGGGTGCCGGTGCCTGTACTGGTGGGATTGGGGGTGATGGTGGTCGAAGTTGGGGTGACTTGAGGATGGTGTGTGGAGGAAGTGTGTGAATGTAGGGATGTAGAGGTTTTGGCTGTGCTGAATGAGCTCAGGGCTTGGCTGGTCCCACTGGTGTTTGCTGTCATTGGTGGGGCTGTGTGGGTGGACCCTGTGACCTTGACCGTTGTCGGTGGAGGAATGGTGCCTATTGGCACTGAGTGGATGGAGGAGGAAGTGGACATCTGCGCGTGTGTAGGGGTGATGACAGTGTGAGTAGTTGGAGTCACCAAGGAGGTGGAGAAAGGTGGAACGTGAGTGGGAAGTGTGGTCTGAGGGTGTGATGGGGTTGGATAGGTAGTGGTGATCTTGAAGGATGTTGCAGTGATAGGACCTGTGGAAGAGACAGGACTGCTCTCTGTAGGTGAGGAGTGTGTGGTGAAGGTTGTGGGTAGCCTGCTGCTGGTGGCCGAGGTGGTGTGGGCCACAGGGGTGCCGGTTCCTGTACTGGTGGGTTTGGGGGTGATGGTGGTAGAAGTTGGGGTGACTTCAGGATGGTGTGTGGAAGAAGTTTGTGAATGTAGGGATGTGGAGGTTTTGGCTGTGCTGAATGAGTTCGGGGCTTGGCTGGTCCCACTGGTGGTAGCTGTCATTGGTGGGGCTGTGTGCGTGGATGCTGTGGCCTTGACTGTTGTCACTGGAGGAATGGTTCCTGTTGGCCCTGAGGGGATGGAGGAGGAAGTGAACACCTGTGCGTGGGTAGGGGTGATGACTGTGTGAGTAGTTGGAGTCACCAAGGAGGTGGAGAAAGGTGGAACGTGAGTGGGAAGTGTGGTCTGAGGGTGTGATGGGGTTGGATAGGTAGTGGTGGTCTGGAAGGATGTTGCAGTGATAGGACTTGTGGAAGAGACAGGACTGCTTTCTGTAGGTGGGGAGTGTGTGGTGAAGGGTGTGGGTAGCCTGCTGCTGGTGGCCGAGGTGGTGTGGGCCACAGGGGTGCCGGTGCCTGTACTGGTGGGATTGGGGGTGATGGTGGTCGAAGTTGGGGTGACTTGAGGATGGTGTGTGGAGGAAGTGTGTGAATGTAGTGATGTAGAGGTTTTGGCTGTGCTGAATGAGCTCAGGGCTTGGCTGGTCCCACTGGTGTTTGCTGTCATTGGTGGGGCTGTGTGGGTGGACCCTGTGACCTTGACTGTTGTCGGTGGAGAAATGGTGACTATTGGCACTGAGTGGATGGAGGAGGAAGTGGACATCTGCGTGTGGGTAGGTGTGATGACTGTGTGAGTAGTAGGAGTCACCAAGGAGGTGGAGAAAGGTGGAATGTGAGTGGGAAGTGTGGTCTGAGGGTGTGATGGTGTTGGATAGGTAGTGGTGGTCTGGAAGGATGTTGCAGTGATAGGACCTGTGGAAGAGACGGGAGTGCTCTCTGTAGGTGGGGAGTGTGTGGTGAAGGTTGTGGGTAGCCTGCTGCTGGTGGCCGAGGTGGTGTGGGCCACAGGGGTGCCGGTTCCTGTACTGGTGGGTTTGGGGGTGATGGTGGTAGAAGTTGGGGTGACTTCAGGATGGTGTGTGGAGGAGGTGTGTGAATGTAGGGATGTAGAGGTTTTGGTTGTGCTGAATGAACTCGGGGCTTGGCTGGTCCTACTGGTGGTCACCGTCATTGGTGGGGCTGTGTGCGTGGACCCTGTAGCCTTGACCGTTGTTGGTGGAGTAATGGTGCCTGTTGGCGCTGAGTGGATGGAGGTAGAAGTAGACCTCTGTGCATCGGTAGGGGTGATGACTGTGTGAGTAGTTGGAGTCACCAAGGAGGTGGAGAAAAGTGGAACGTGAGTTGGAAGTGTGGTCTGAGGGTGTGATGGTGTTGGATAGGTAGTGGTGATCTTGAAGGATGTTGCAGTCATAGGACTTGTGGAAGAGACGGGAGTGCTCTCTGTAGGTGGGGAGTGTGTGGTGAAGGGTGTGGGTAGCCTGCTGCTGGTGGCCGAGGTGGTGTGGGCCACAGGGGTGCCGGTTCCTGTACTGGTGGGTTTGGGGGTGATGGTGGTAGAAGTTGGGGTGACTTCAGGATGGTGTGTGGAGGAGGTGTGTGAATGTAGGGATGTAGAGGTTTTGGTTGTGCTGAATGAACTCGGGGCTTGGCTGGTCCTACTGGTGGTCACCGTCATTGGTGGGGCTGTGTGCGTGGACCCTGTAGCCTTGACCGTTGTTGGTGGAGTAATGGTGCCTGTTGGCGCTGAGTGGATGGAGGTAGAAGTAGACCTCTGTGCATCGGTAGGGGTGGTGACTGTGTGAGTAATTGGAGTCACCAAGGAGGTGGAGAAAGATGGAACGTGAGTTGGAAGTGTGGTCTGAGCGTGTGATGGTGTTGGATAGGTAGTGGTGATCTTGAAGGATGTTGCAGTCATAGGACTTGTGGAAGAGACGGGAGTGCTCTCTGTAGGTGGGGAGTGTGTGGTGAAGGGTGTGGGTAGCCTGCTGCTGGTGGCCGAGGTGGTGTGGGCCACAGGGGTGCCGGTTCCTGTACTGGTGGGTTTGGGGGTGATGGTGGTAGAAGTTGGGGTGACTTCAGGATGGTGTGTGGAAGAAGTTTCTGAATGTAGAGATGTAGAGGTTTTGGCTGTGCTGAATGAGTTCGGGGCTTGGCTGGTCCCACTGGTGGTAGCTGTCATTGGTGGGGCTGTGTGCGTGGATGCTGTGGCCTTGACTGTTGTCACTGGAGGAATGGTTCCTGTTGGCCCTGAGGGGATGGAGGAGGAAGTGAACACCTGTGCGTGGGTAGGGGTGATGACTGTGTGAGTAGTTGGAGTCACCAAGGAGGTGGAGAAAGGTGGAACGTGAGTGGGAAGTGTGGTCTGAGGGTGTGATGGTGTTGGATAGGTAGTGGTGGTCTGGAAAGATGTTGCAGTGATAGGACCTGTGGAAGAGATAGGAATGCTCCCTGTAGGTGGGGAGTGTGTGGTGAAGGGTGTAGGTGGCTTGCTGCTGGTGGCTGAGGTGGTGTGGGCCACAGGGGTGCCGGTTCCTGTACTGGTGGGATTGGGGGTGATGGTGGTCGAAGTTGGGGTGACTTGAGGATGGTGTGTGGAGGAAGTGTGTGAATGTATGGATGTAAAGGTTTTGGCTGTGCTGAATGAGCTGTGTGCTTGGCTGCTCCCACTGGTGTTTGCTGTCGTCGGTGGGGCTGTGTGGGTGGACCCTGTGACCTTGACCGTTGTTGGTGGATTAATGGTCCCTATTGGCACTGAGTGGATGGAGGAGGAAGTCGACATCTGTGTGTGGGTAGGGGTGATGACAGTGTGAGTAGTTGGAGTCACCAAGGAGGTGGATAAAGGTGGAACATGAGTGGAAAGTGTGGTCTGAGGTTGTGATGTCGTTGGATAGGTAGTGGTCGTCTTGAAGGATGTTGCAGTCATGGGACCTGTGGAAGAGATGGGGTTGCTCCCTGTAGCTGGGGAGTGTGTGGTGAAGGGTGTAGGTGGCTCGCTGCTGGTGGCTGAGGTGGTGTGGGCCACAGGGGTGCCGGTTATTCTACTGGTGGGGTTGGGGGTGATGGTGGTAAAAGTTGGAGTGACTTCAGTATGGAGTGTCGAAGAAGCATGTGTGTGTCGGGATGTAGAGGTTTTGGCTGTGCTGAATGAGCTCAGGGTTTGGCTGGTCCCGCTTGTGGTTGCTGTCATTGGGGGTGCTGTGTGAGTGGACACTGTGCCTGTGGCCTTGACCGTTGTAGGTGGAGGAATGGTGCCTGTTGGTGTTGAGTGGATGTAGGCAGAAGTGGACACCTGTGCGTGGGTCAGGGTGATGACTGTGTGAGTACTTGGAGTCACTGAGGAGGTGGAGAAAGGTGGAATGTGAGTGGGAAGTGTGGTGTGAGGTTGTGATGGGGTTGGATAGGTAGTGGTGGTTTGGAAGGATGTTGCAGTCAAAGGACCTGTGGAAGAGATGTGACTGCTCCCTGTAGGTGGGGAGTGTGTGGTGAAGCCTGTGGGTAGCCTGCTGCTGGTGGCCCAGGTGATGTTGGCCACAGGGGTGCCGGTTCCTGTACTGGTTTGTTTGGGAGTAATGGTGGTGGTAGAAGTTGGGATGATTTCTGGTTGGTGTGTGGAGGAAGGGTGTGAGTGCAAGGATGTAGAGGTTTTCGCTGTGCTGAAAGAGCTGTGGGCTTGGCTGGTCCCACTGATGGTCACTGTCCTTGGCGGAGTTTTGTGCGTGGATCCTGTGGTCCTGAAGGTTGTTAGTGGAGGAATAGTGCCTGTTGGTGACGGGTGGATGAAGGTGGTAGTGGACACCTGTGCATGGGTAGGGGTGATGACTGTGTGAGTGCTTGGGCTCACCAGTGAGGTGGACGAAGGTGGAATGTGAGTGGGAAGTGTGGTCTGAGGGTGTGAAGTGGTTGGATAGGTAGTGGTGGTCTTGAGTGTGGTAGTCACAGGACCTGTGGAAGAGATGGGAATGCTCCCCGTAGGTGGGGAATGTGTGGTGAAGGGTTTGGGTGGCCCGCTGCTGGTGGTCAAGGGGCTATGGATCACAGTGGTGCCGGTTTCTGTACTGGTGGGATTGTAATTAATGGTGGTGGTAGAAGTTAGGGTGATTTCAGGATGGTGTGTGGAGGAAACATGTGAGTGAAGGGATGTAGAGGTTTTGGCTGTGCTAAATGAGCTGTGGGCTTGGCTCGTCCGAATGGTGGTTCCCGTCATTGGTGGGGTTGCGTGCGTGGACCCTGTGTCACTGACCGTTGTTGGTGGAGGAATGGTGCCTGTTGGCGTTGAGTGGATGGAGGAGGAAGTGAACATCTGTGTGTGGGTAGGCGTGATGACTGTGTGAGTACCTGGAGTCACCGAGGAAGTGGAGAAAGGTGGAACGTGAGTGGGAAGTGTGGTCTGAGGGTGTGATGGTGTTGGATAGATAGTGGTGGTCTGGAAGGATGTTGCAGTCATAGGACCTGTGGAAGAGAGGGTACTGCTCCCTGTAGGTGGGGAGTGTGTGGTGATGGGTGTGGGTGTCCTGCTGCTGGTGGCCGAAGTGGCGTAGGTCACAGTGGTGCTGGTGCCTGTACTGGTGGACTTGGGAGTATTTGTGGTGGTAGAAGTTGGGGTGATTTCTGGATGATGTGTGGAGGAAGGGTGTGAGTGGAGGGATGTAGAGGTTTTGGCTGTACTGAATGAGCTGCTGTCTTGGCTGGTCCTACTGGTTGTTGCTGTCATTGGTGGGGCTGTGTGGGTGGACCCTGTAGCCTTGACTGTTGTCTGTGGATGAATGGTGCCTGTTGGTGTTGAGTGGATATAGGCAGAAGTGGACATCTCTGTGTGGGTAGGGGTGATGACTGTGTGAGTACTTGGAGTCACTGAGGAGGTGGAGAAAGGTGGAACGTGAGTGGGAAGTGTGGTCTGAGGGTGTGATGGGGTTGGATAGGTAGTGGTAGTCTTGAAGGATGTTACAGTTATAGGACCTGTGGAAATGATGGGAGTGCTCCCTGTAGGTGGGGAATGTGTGGTGAAGGGTGGTGGTGGTCTGTTGCTGGTGGCCGAGGTGGTGTGGGCCACAGGGGTTCCAGTGCCTGTACTGGTGGGATTGGGAGTAATCGTGGTGGTAGAAGTTGGGGTGATTTCAGGATGGTGTGTGGAGGAAGTGTGTGAGTATAGGGATGTAGAGGTTTTGGCTGTGCTAAATGAGCTGTGGGCTTGGCTGGTCACACTGGTGGTCACTGTCATTGGTGGGGCTGTGTGTGTGGACCCTGTTGCCTTGACCGTTGTTGATGAAGGAATGGTGCCTGTTGGTGTTGAGTGGATGGAGGTGGAAGTGGACGTCTGTGAGTGTGTAGGGGTGATGACAGTGTGAGTAGTTGGAGTCACCAAGGAGGTGGAGAAAGGTGGAACGTGAGTGGGAAGTGTGGTCTGAGGGTGTGATGGGGTTGGATAGGTAGAGGTGGTCTTGAAGGATGTTGTAGTCGTAGGACCTGTGGAAGAGCTGGGTCTGCTCCCTGAAGGTGAATGTGTGGTGAAGGGTGTGTGTGGCTCACTGATGGTGGTCAACGTGGTGTGGGCCACAGGGGTGCTAGTTCCTGCACTAGTGGACTTGGGAATAATGGTGGTAGAATTTGGTGTGGTTTCAGGGTGGTGTGTGGAGGAAGCATGTGAGAGGAGGGATGTAGAGGTTTTGGCTGTGCTGAATGAGCTGTGGACTTGGCTGGTGCCACTGGTGGTCACTGTCATTGGTGGAGCTGTGTGCGTGGACCCTGTGGTTGTGAGCGTTGTCGGTGGAGGAATGGTGCCTGTTGGCGTTGAGTGGATGGAGGCAGAAGTGGACATCTGTGGGTGGATAGAGGTGATGACTGTGTAAGTACTTGGAGTCACCGAGGAGGTGGAGAAAGGTGGAATGTGAGTGGGAAATATGGTATGAGGTTGTGATGGGGTTGGATAGGTAGTGGTCGTCTTGAGAGATGTCGTAGTCGTAGGACCTTTGGAAGTGGTGGGACTGCTCCCTGTAGGTGTGGAGTGTGTGGTGAAGGGTGGTGGTGGCCTGCTGCTGGTGGCCGAGGTGGTGTGGGCCACAGGGGTTCCGGTGTCTGTACTAGTGGGGTTGGGAGTAATTGCGATGGTAGAAGTTGGGGTGATTTCTGGATGATGTGTGGAGGAACCATGTGAATGTAGGGATGTAGAGGTTTTGACTGTGCTGAATGAGCTGTGGACTTGGCTGGTCCCACTGGTGGTCCCTGTCATTGGTGGGGCTGTGTGTGTGGACCCTGTAGCCTTGACTGTTGTTGATGAAGGAATGATGTATGTTGGTGTTGAGTGGATGGAGGTGGAAGTGGACGTCTGTGAGTGTGTAGGGATGATGACAGTGTGAGTAGTTGGAGTCACCAAGGAGGTGGAGAAAGGTGGAACGTGAGTGGGAAATGTGGTCTGAGGGTGTGGTGGGGTTGGATAGGTAGTGGTGGTCTGGAAGGATGTGGCAGTCATAGGACCTGTGGAAGAGACGGGACTACTCCCTGTAGGTGGGGAGAGTGTGGTGAAGGGTGGTGGTGGCCTGCTGCTGGTGACCAAGGTGGTGTGGGCCACAGGGGTGCTCGTGCCTGTACTGGTGGGGTTGGGAGTAATAGTGGTGGTAGAAGTTAGGGTGATTTCAGGATGGTGTGTGGAGGAAGCATGTGAGTGTAGGGATGTAGAGGTTTTGGCTGTGCTGATTGAGTTCTGGGCTTGACTGGTTCCACTGATGGTCCCCGTCATTGTTGGGGCTGTGCGCGTGGACCCTGTGGCCATGAGGGTTGTTGGTGAAGTAATGGTGCCCGTTGGCTTTGAGTGGATGGAGGAGGAAGTGGACATCTGTGCGTGGGTAGGAGTGATAACTGTGTGAGTACTTGGAGTCACCAAGGAGGTGGAGAAAGCTGGAACATGAGTGGGAAGTGTGGTCTGAGGGTGTGATGGGGTTGGATAGGTAGTGGTGATCTTGATGGATGTTGCAGTCATAGGACCTGTGGAAGAGACAGAAGTGCTCCCTATAGGTGGGGAGTGTGTTGTGATGGGTATGGGTGTCCTGCTGCTGGTGGCCGAGTTGGTGTGGGTCACAGGGGTGCCTGTGCCTGTACTGGTGGACTTGGGAGTAATGTTGGTGGTAGAAGTTGGGGTGACTTGAGGATGGTGTGTGGAGGAAGCGTATGAGTGTAGGGATGTAGAGGTTTTGGCTGTACTGAATGAGCTGCTGTCTTGGCTGGTCCTACTGGTTGTTGCCGTCATTGGTGGGGCTGTGTGGGTGGACCTTGTGGACTTGACTGTTGTTTGTGGAGGAATGGTGCCTGTTGGCGTTGAGTGGATAGAGGCAGAAGTGGACATCTGTGCGTGGGTCGGGATGATGACTGTGTGAGTATTTGGAGTCACTGAGGAGGTGGAGAAAGGCGGCACGTGAGTGGGAAGTGTGGTCTGAGGGTGTGATGGTGTTGGATAGATAGTGGTGGTCTGGAAGGATATTGCAGTCGTAGGACCTGTGGAAGCAACGAGAGTCCCCACTGGTGGGGAATGTGTGATGTGTGGGGTTTGGGGCGTTGTGTATTCAGTAGTCATTCCTGTTTGAGTTGTCTCTGTGGCTGTGGGCCTCGTGGGTTGTCCTGGCTGTGGGGTGGTTGGGCCCGTGGTGCTCGCTGGGGTTGGACGTGGGCCTGTCGTCTGGGTGGCCGTTGTTCCTGGCAGTTCCTGATCTGTCGATTTTGCTGTGGGAATTGGTGAAGTTGTCATCGTTACTGTGTTTGTTTCTCTACCCTGACCTCTGCTGGCCTTTTGTCCGTGTGACCTTTTTCTTGCCTGTCTCTGTCTCTGGTCCTGTGGCATGGCCCAGACTGTGGCCTGCCCCAGTGTCTCCATCTCACCTGGACCTGCTCCGCATCCTGCCCCGAGCTGAGTGCTGACTCCTTCGGCGCAGCTGCCACTCTGTGACTGGAGCCCAGGCCCTACTTTATCCCCCTCTGGTTCCTTGTGGCCCTGGTGGTGGCCCCTGCCCTCCTGCACCTCTGCTCCCCAGGCCTGCCTCTGTGGGTGCAGGGCGGCCCTCCCTCGCATCTAGCTCCAGTGTGCGCTGTTGGGCTGCCTTCCCGCTTGCCCTTTGGGAAATACAGGGTCTCCTTTGCGGCTGAGTCACCAAATGTGAGTTGGAGGTGGGCCCGGGTGCCTTCGCGATGGTTGGCATCCTGTGGCGCCGTGACTTACACAGCGTGGGGCTTGTCCCTGGTGTGGCTGGTGTTGGTGGTGTCACCGTGGTCCGTGTTGTGGACTGAGCTGTGGACGTTGTGGCTGGGCTGGCAGTCGATGCCGTGGCCCTGGTTGTGGCCTGGGTCACTGTGGGTTTTGTGGCTGTCGATCTCAGTGTGGCTGTGGGAGGCAGCCCTGATGTGGCTTGTGGGGTGACGGCTGTGGTTGGTCTAGGTGATTCTGCAGAGGACAGCCGCCCGGAACATCCCCTTCCTGTGGGCCTGCATCTCAAAGGCTTATGTCCCAGCCCCCTGCCCTGCTCCTGGGATCCCTGGCCTGCTGTCCGGGACTCAGCCTCCTTGGAGGGGCTCTTCCTCTTGCCTTTGTTAGGTCCTCCTGCCGTACTCCTGGCTGTGGCGGCCAGAGCTGGAGCAGTGACCACACGCTCATGGGGCTGCAGCTGCTCCTCCACCCACCCTTACTCGGCTGAGCGGACGGTTGTCCTGTCCCCTCCAGGGTCCCTGGGCAGCAGATGGGGCCCTGCTCGGTGTAGGGCAGGGGCAGGCTGCCTGGCAGAGGCCCTGTAGGTCCCACACGGTTTCTAGTGACAGCAGCCAGCAGCAAGGAATGCCTGTGCCGTGACCAGCTTGTCTTTAAAAGTTTTTCTGAAAAATCCCCAGTTTGGCTCCCAAGCATAGGAAATTCTATGCTGAGAATCTGCTTAGTGGCAGATCTGAGCCAGGAAGCGGGGCCATCCCTGAACCCACCCCAGAGGTGTACCTAGGACCCCCTGCAGCTGCCCTCTCCATGGGCTCATCTGGAGGCTCCTTACCTCCCGAGGAGGCCGTGGGCTTGGAGGATGTGAGCGTGGCTGGAAGGAGGGGTGTCTGGGTGGGGCTGGCAGGGGTGTGTTTGGAGCTGGGTGAGGGTCCGGTGGAGCTGAGAAGCCCGATGGTGGTGGAGGTTCCCGTTGTGGGCCAGACTTGTGTGGGCCGTGAGCCTGGGTGGACGGACATGCCATCAGGGCTGCAGGGCACTGGCACATCCTTGGGGAGCACCCTCCCCACTGCCTGCTTGGCCGAAGCCGGGCAGCCCTGCAGGGGCTGATGTGCTGGGCACTCAGTTGAGGGCTGGCCCGTGGCTCTCTGAGTGCAGCCTGTCTCCTGGCAGGGCCTTCTGCATGGCGGCGGTCACCAGTTGAGGCCCCACTGTGTGCTCATCCGTGGGTCCAGCCAGGGCCACGGGGACCAGGCTGCTGCCTGGCTGTGGGCTGAGCTCCTCCCCCAGCTCTGATTGCCAGGTTAGACCTGGGAAGGGCACAGGCACTGCCTGCCTGCCCTCTCCCTGCTTCCCACCCAACAGATTTGTCCAGGGAGCCAGGGGGAGCCCAGGAAAGGGCCGCGTCACCTTGGCACGTAGTGTGCGTGCAATCACCTGTGGTGGATGGCTGCGGTGTGGTGGCTGGCACTGCAAGAAGATGGCGTCAGCTCCCTGTGGCGCTCGAAGCCTCCCCACCCCGTGGGGCCTCCGGAAGCTCCGAGGGCCTGAGTCAGAGATGCTCACCAAGGATGAGGTGGAGGGGATCGGAGGGGATCGGAGGGGCTGGGAGCCCACCCTTCCCTCTCTCCCTTTCTCCTTCCCAGGATGATTCCCACTCTCTACCCCAGGCACCCTGGCAGGCCTGGTGAGGGTAGGGGGAGCTGGGGGCTGGTGGAAGAGGGATGGGAGGGCCCAACGGGGTTTAGTGCTGTTTTTTTCTCTCTGCTGCCATGGGCTGGAGGCTGCCTGAGTCTCTGGAGACCCAAGGGGCCAGGGTCCCGGACAGTCGAGTCCCAGAGCTCACGTAAGGGTTCACAGCCCCCGAGGGCTCTCTCCCTTGTTTGTGGGATGCAGACATGCTTTCTGCCTCCATGTAGGCAGGGGCAGGGGTTCTCAGGGCAGCTGACTGGACTTACTGCAGGGCACGCACACCCCCTCCTCGTGGTCGAAGTACTCATCCTGGGAGCAGTTGTAGCAGCCTAGGGTGGAGAACGGCCAGGCTGTGTGACCAGTGGCCAGCCAGGCCCACCTGCATGTTTCCTGTCCTGGCGGCCTCCTTCCTCTCTGCCTTTTTTTTTTTTTTTTTTTTTGAGACAGAGTCTCGCTCTGTCGCCCAGGCTGGAGTGCAGTGGCGCGATCTTAGCTCACTGCAACCTCTGCCTCCTGGATTCAAGTGATTCTCCTACCTCAGCCTCCCAAGTAGCTGCGATTGCAGGCGTGTGCATGATGCACGGCTAATTTTTGTATTTTTAGTAGTGATGGGGCTTCGCCATGTTGGCCAGGCTGGTCTCGAATTCCTGACCTCAGGTGATTTGCCTGCCTCGGCCTCTCAGTGTGCAGGGATTACAGTTTCACCCGCGCACCTTGCTCTAAGCCACTCCTTTCCTGCCATGCCTTCCTCGGGCCTTGGTCTCTCATCCCCTGCTTATCACCCGAGGCTGGGGCTTCAGTGCCATCTTCCAGTCCTCACCTCCCCCTGGACCTCAGACACTGGCCCCCCTCTTCTGTGCTCCCCAATGCAGGTACCCTGCATTGCCCTCCTGAGCCCCAGTGCATCTGTCCCGTGTGTCCGGATGGCTCCAGACATCACCCTCCTCCACCGCTTGGGCCAGCACCTGTTAATCCCAGGACCATCTGCGTTCAGACATCTGCCCTGGGTCAGCTACAGGGCTCACAAAGACCCCTGCATCCTGGCCTCACCCCATCCCACACTTCTGTGTACCCCACACCCCTCTGTAGCCCTGCGCCCCTCACTTGCTCGCTCTGCCCACTGCCCTGGCTTTCTCAAGGGTTCTGGGCACAAGGCTGCTCCTGGCTGCTCCTCTGGATGCTTTCCTGGCTCCCCGCCTCACCTTTCCCATCCTCACCCTCACATCTGCTTCCCACCAAGGACCCCAACCACCCTGTGTGGCACGGAAGCCATGGGGTAGCTCTCCCACCCCGGCCTGCCTTTCTCCCCTCCATGGTGGGCGCCTTGGCCGACACTGGTTCTGCCTCCTTAGGCACCTCTCCCCGGCTGGGAGGGAAGCCTCAGGGTGCAGGACTGTTTGTTTTGTGTAAGGCCAGGTCCCCTGACCTGGAACTGGCCTGGAGGACAGAGGTGCTCAGGACGCATCTGCTGAGCGAGTGAATGATTGTGTGTGAAAGAATGAATGTGCAAGTGAATGACTGCATCAATGTGTATGAACGAATGTGCTTGAATGAATAAGCAAGCATGAATGAATGAATGTGCATGGATGAATGTGTGAATGAATGTGCGTGAATGTTCAATGAATGTGTGAATGTGCATGAGTGAATGTGCATGAGTGAATGAACGAATGTGCATGAATGAATGTGCATGAATCTGCGTGAATGTACATGAGTGAATGTGTGAATGAGCATGAATGAATGTGTTGAGTGAATGCGTGAATGAGCATGAATATGTTGAATGAGTGTGCATGAGTGAGCGTGAATGGATGAATGTGGAGTGAATGTGCGTGAATGAATGTGCATGAATGAATGTACATGAGTGAATGTACGTGAATGTGTGAGTGAACAAATGTGCGTGCATGAATGAATATGCGTGAATGAATGAGCATGAATAAAGGTGCGTGAATGAATGCGTGAATGCGTGAGTGGATGAACAAATGTGTGTGAATGAATATGCGTGAATGTGCATTAATCTGCATGAATGAATGTGTGAATGAATGTGTGAATTAATGAATGCGTGTGAATTAATGAGCATGAATGAATGTGTGAATGAGTGAATGTGTGTGAATGAATGTGCATGAATGAGTGAATGGGTCCCCCTGTGTATCTGCGTCACCTCCCCGCCACCTGGCACCTTCGATGTTGCTGCCTGGGACGCTCTGTGGTTGGCCTGGGCAGAGGCAGGGCTGGTAGTGCCACGTGCAGTTGGCCTCCTGGGTGTACTGGTACTCGCCGTGGCTGTCCTGCGTGTGCGTGTTGTAGAAGCCGCAGTAGATGGCTGGGAGGAAGGGACATGTCAGCTGGTGGGGTTCCTGGCCCTGGCCCTGGCCCTGACCCAGGGGTTCCCCTGGGCATGCGTGGAACCTGAGCGTGGGTGGGGAAGGCCTGGGCCCTTTTGGCGAAACCTCCCCTGGGCAGCTGGGGGCTGCGGGAGGACCAGGGTGGCCCTGCAGGGCACAGCCTGGTGCCTGTCCAGGGAGAGGGGCCTGTGGGCGAGGGCAGCCCTGCGCTGGCCCTCAGTGGTGCTGGGTGTCAGGGGCTGGAGCAACCTGTGGGTGGGGTGGTCACTCACGGCAGAAGTCCGGGGTCCTCCAGTCCACACACACACCCTTGTCTAGACAGGCTTGGGCGTAGGCAGCCACAGCGTCACACAGACACTCACAGTCCCCGCCACTGTCACACCCACATGCGTCGCGCACGCAGGCCTCGTAGTAGGGCAGGTGGTATACCTGCAGGAGCGTGTGCCAGTCAGTGTCTGGCCGTCGGGGGATAGCGGGGCACCAGGCTTTGCCACCTGCAGTGCCCTCAGTGTGGTGAGGCCAGAGTGTGGCGGCCAGGGCACTGGGACTGGGTGAGCCGCAGCACATGGACCTCAGCCCTGACCGCCAGCCACCCTCCCAAAGCCGATGCTGCCACGGAGACCTGACCCGAGCTCACGCCGTGAGATCCGCCATTGGGACCAAGGTACGCTGCCACCAACCATGACCACTGCAGCCCTGCCCGGGGTCTCCGCTCCCCCACGCCACGCTCACATTCAGCGGGCCAGTGCCATGCCGTTCCACCATGGGTTGTCCCTATCCTCTCAGTTCTTACTGCACCCCGATGACTGGATCACACCCTGGGCCGGGAAGCGCGTGCCCTGCATCCTGGAGGTCACCCTGACCACCGGCTCCTGAGCAGGGGGCCCCACCAGGCCATGCTGCCCCAGGGGACTCATGGCACTGTCTGGGGGTGCTATTGGCATCTGGTGGCCAGAGGCCGGGGGCTGCTAAACAGCCACAGTGCACAAGTCGGCCCCACGTCAGGGCCCTGCGCTCAGGCAGAGGGTCTGAACCTCTCTGCACCCTGATCTGGCTGGTCTGGGATCCCATGGAGGGAGAACCGTGCCTGGCTTTCCCACCTTGGGCCAGACAGGGCCCGGCCCCCACCCCCTCCCCCACCCCCACCGGACATTTGTGGAGGAGCAGGCGCACAGCCCTCTGCCCGGTGCCCACCTTGCTGTGGCAGGCAGCAAAGGTCTGGCTGTTGATGATGCTGCACTTGCGCTCGGCCCAGGAGCGCCGGAAGGCATTGAGGCTGCAGGGGTCCGCCACGAAGCTCACGTCCCCGCACAGCGGGCTCTCCTTCCACGAGTTCACGAACTCCAGCTCGCTGGACGCCACGTACCTGCTGCGCGTCTCAAAGTCGTCCTTCATATTCCCGTTGAAGTTGCCACACAAGCCGCAGAGGGGATCCTGCAGGCAGCGGCATCAGGCCGGGCCCAGGGACTGTGCCATCCGTCTCCACCCCTGCATCGGGGAGGGTCTGGGAGGACGCAGAGGGCGTGCGGTACCTGGGAGTCACGGGTGATCCTGATGAGGATGGTCATGTGCCTGTTCCAGATGAGTGTCAGGTTGTACCTTCCGGGGACACTGATGTCCACGACAAGGCTCAGCGTGCCCGGCCTCACACTGAGCTGCACGTGGGGCTCCTCCCCGGTGACCGTGTAGTTTCTGTCTGCCAGCACCACGGACAGGCCCTGTGGAGTAGGGTTGGCATGGGACTGCCTGTCTTCCCCGGCCCCTGGCACAGCCGTGCTGGACCGAACTCAGAGGCAGAGCTGCCAGGTCTGTTAAGGCCATGCATAGGAGCACCTGCTGAGAACCAGCTTGGGGCAGAAGGGCCTGGCATGCCTGGAACAGGGCTGAGGGCTGAAGCTCGGGCTTCCTGGAGAGTCCCTCCCCTCTGCCTGGGAGACATTGCGCAGCCCCTGAAACCTTGTGGGGGACAAGCACCCCTGGTCCTGAGTGTCTGGCCAGGGAGGGGCAGCAGGCACCCCTCAAGGAGAGGCAGGCGGGGAGAGCTGCACCTCAGGGCAGGACCTGGAGGCTCCAGTGGGCAGGGTCCAGCTGTGTGGCAGGGGCCCCCTCCCGCCCCTCCTGCCCTGCCAGTCTGCCTCGCTGCTCACCCCCAGGAAGATCTTGATGGCGCGTGAACACGTGACCCCCGAGTTCCCACAGATGACGTTCTCTGTCAGGATCTTGAAGGTGGGCTGTGAATCATTGGCACCACACCCGTCCTGCAGGGAGAGGGCACTGAGGAGGAGCCCTGGGGGACGTGCCTCTGGGTCCCCGGGCCCCGCGGCCCCACGCCCGGTGGATACCGTGGCCAGGATGTACTCGCAGTTGCCGTCGAATACGAAGCGTTGGCCGTCGAAGGTGACGATGTGGCCTTCCCCGTAGAGGGTGCAGGTGGATGGGCAGTGGGTGCCCTGCTGGCAGGCCCACCTCCCCCTGGAGCAGGTGCTGTGGAGACAGCAGGTGTGGGTGGCAGGCCCGTGGCCCTCCTGCCATACTGGGTGTGGTCCCTGGAGAGGCCAGGCTGCACCTCTGGATGCCCCTACCTCCGGGACAACCCCACCCTGGGCAGCCCCTGCCTGCCCCAGACAGCCCCTGCCTGCCCCAGACAGCCCCAGGAGCCCATGGCATCTGGAGCGAGGCTTTGTCTCACCAGGTCCTGCAGTCGGTGTGGAGCTCAGCTCCCCCAGGGTAGGAGACCCCCGAGAACTCACACGGGCACTCCTCAGGGGGCACACACTGCCCGTCGGCATTCTCGTAGAGGCCCTCGGCACAGACACAGCCAGGCTCACACTTGGTGGGCACCTGGAGGGAGGCAGGTCAGCGGCCCCTGGAAGGGTGGCCTCAGCCAGCCGCTGCCCAGCCCTGGGCCCCTCTGAGACCACCTGGCGTGTCTCCCAGGCCCTCTCCCTGAATACAGCCCTACTCTGTGGCCTTTGTGGGCAGCTGGGCTTATTGCCTTAGCAAAGCTTCCCCCACTTTGTGAAAGGTGCTGGGACTCTGTACCCATCCCTACACATGGACACCCCACCCTCCCCAAGCTGGTGCTGGCCACTGTCCTCAGGGAGCCCTGCAGACGAGCCCCTGGGGCCTCCAGCTGCCCAGCCACAGGGCTGCTCCCCCCTCCTGGCCAGCCCCAGGCACCCGCCGCAGGGCAGAACATGGCCGGGTCTCCCGGGGTTCTGTGGAAACTCCCTCATGGCCCAGGTGGGGCCTGGGCGTTCCCGCTCCTTGCGCGCCCCCTTACGCAGGCAACACCAGTGGCCAGCATCTGGCATGTGGGGGCACAGGCCGCCCCAAACTTGTTCTCGGAGGACTGGCTGCAGGACTTGAAGGTCTTGGGGGCCTGGCAGGTGGCTATAGGAAAGAGGGGCACCCAGTCAGGACACTGAGAGGAAGCCGGGGCCCCTCACAGTCCCAGCCTGTGGCCGGCACTGCTGTACGTACCCAGGAACATCTGTGGTCGCTGCGGGCAACTCAGCCGCCCGTTGATGCAGTAGCTGCAAGAGAGAGGCTGCGTGAGCCCCCGGGGCCCGGCAGGGACCCCCCGCCTGGCCCCTGCCTGGCCCCTCACCAGGTGACGCCGTTGACGATGGTGGACTGCTCGGCCAGGATGAATTTGTAACCCTCCAGTGTGCACGGGCACTGGGCCTTGCGCACACACTCGCCCTTGTGGTTCAGGTAGGTGCCATTGGGGCAGTTGCAACCGTCCACGGGCACCGCGCTGGCATGGCACTCGGCGGCACGGTCTGACAGCGACAGGCAGGTGCGCTCACAGGCTTGGCTGTTGTAGCTGAAGGTGGTGTTGCCCGTGCAGGGGACGGCTGTGGAGGACCCGGGTATCAGACCCTCCAGGCATCAGACCCTCTGGGAGGGCCCGGCCGGGGAGGGCGAGCTTGGGTTCCACTGCCTGCCGGGCACTGCAGAGCCTCAGAGCTTGGGGCCCCAGGACACCCCCTCATGAGCCCAGCCTGCTGTGATCCCGCTAAGCCCCGCTGGGCACTCACTGCAGTTGTCCACGCTGCTTCTCCAGCCCCAGAGCAGGACGCCCCGTGAGGCGCAGGCGTGTACGTAGTCGCCCAGGGCAGCGCAGATGTGGGGGAAGGTCTCCTCGTAGTTGCAGGCCTGGTACACGCACCTCTGCGGGCAGAGAGCCAGCATGGGCTGGTGGCAGGCACCCTGCCCTGGGGATGTGGGGGCCCCAAACCTATGCCTTTGGGTGCCTGAGACCATGTCAGCCACCACGGCCTTCCCTGCAGCCCTCCCAAGACGCCCTCGGGCCCTCACCTTGTAGAAGGGCGCGGGGTTCACTGTGGCATGGCACCTCTCGAACACCGTGCCTGTCCTCACCAGCATGGAACAGTGGGTCTCCGCACACACCTCTGGGGACGACAGGCCCGGGTGTGAGTCCCGGCCCCTCCCCATTCCAGCCACGGCTCCTCCCAGGGACCCCCCACCCTGGCAGCTGGGCCTGTGGTCGAGTCCAGGGGTCTGTCAGAACTGTGGGTGCTGGGGGGCAGCCAGGGGGAGTTGGGGGCCGGACACTCACTGTTGAGCTGGCTCATGGAGCAGGGGTCAGTCTCACGCTCCAGAGCGGCCGGACAGTTCCCCGCCCGCCAGGAGTCCACAAACAGCGAGGCGGTGCCCTCGGCGATACCCACGCTGGTGGTGAAGTCGTCCGTAGTGTCCCCGTTGAAGTTGCCGCAGAGCCCTGAGCCGGCAGGCCTGAGTTCAGCTTGAGCCCATCCCTCCTGCACCTGTTCCTGCCCACACGCCCTGGAGCTCCCGTCCTTCCTCTAATAGCACCCTGGGTGAGAAGCCGCGTGGGCCACACGTGCCTGTTTCCCCCCGGGGGCTCCCCAGATACACAGGGTTGTGTGAACCTCTCTTGGACCTTTCTCCTCCCCTGGTCATGGCCAGGCCCCATAGGAATGAGGCAACAGGGCCACCCAGAGGGGCAGGGACTCACCTCTGGTCTGACCTCTGAACTGGGGCCCAACAGTGATGTAGGCCTGGAAGACGGGGCGCAGCTGGACCACGAGTTCCAACCCGAAGCTGGTGGCCATCTGGAGGTGGGTGGACGTCTGCCTGAAGACCGTGATGTTGCCTGCAGGACACAGTGCTCAATGGGCCGTCTCAGCCCCCTCCCTGCCCACTGCAGCCCACCCCGAAGGCACCGTTCTGGGGGGCCAGGGACTGGGCCAGGACGTACGAGTCTTGTATGGCAGCCACTTGGCTTCTCCGTTGTTGGTGACCACCTCGTCCTGAGAGATCACAATTTTGTCCTGGAGAGAGGGTGGCCTGAGTCAGGGCGCAGGCGCCAGGGAGCGGAGCCCTGCTGGCAGGGACGGGTGCGGGAAAGGCCTTACCTGCCTGGAGAGATAGACCACGGCCACCAGGGAGGTCTCGGACTGTGAGAAGCCGGACTTGTCGTACACAGCCATGAGGGCACCGTCCTCGGGAAGCTGGGGGCTCTGCGAGGGGGTGGCGCTCAGGCATGGGTGGGGTCACCGGGAGTGCCCCTCCCCACGGGCCACGGGGCTCGTCCTACCTGGAGGAGGATGTAGGTGCAGGCGCCGTGGAAGCGGTAGGGCCTGGCGTCGAACGTGGTGACGAAGGAGCCACCTTCCAGGGAGCAGTGGCCGGGGCATGGCCGCTCCCTGCACGCCCAGCGGCCCTGGGTGCACTGGCTGTGGGTGGGCATGGGGGCAACCGCATGGTGGGCAGGGCCGCTGGAGCTGGACAGCAGCACACCCCTACCCGCCCTAGGCCAGCGGAACTCCTGCCGGCCAGCCAGAGCCCCCTCCAGCGCCTCACTCACCAGGTTTGGCAGGGGGCTATTGTGACCTCCCCGGGGGCATACATGGCGCCGTTGAGCAGACAGGGGCACTGGGTGACGGGCACGCAGGTGTGGTTACTGGAGAGGTCATTCAGGACCGTACCTGCAATAGCGGGGCTTCTTGGGGCTTGGGTGGGACTGACTGCCTCCCACTCTCCTGTTGGGCGGCCCCTCCCTGGCTCCAGGGAGACGCCCCCCACCCCCCGCAACCTGGCTCCGAGAAGACGCCCCCTCCAGCCTGGGCTGCGACTTCTCACTCCAGCTGCACTTGCATTTGCAAGTCTACGTCAGGCCCTGTGCGTGCACAGCCCTTCGTGCCAGTGTGCCCAGCCCAGGCTCCTGGTGAGTGGCGGCCTCCAGCAGGCAGGGACGTGTAACTGTCCCATGGCCCAGCTCAAACGCCACCTTCTGTCGGCAGCTCCCCGACTCCAGTGAGCAGCCCTCACTGCCTGTGGGTTTGCAGGGGTGGCCATGGCTGGGAGACCTGCAGGCTGCAAGCGTCGGGCGGGAAAAGCCTGTCCCAGGGCAAGAGGCGCCGGAGCTGGGACTCAGACGGCAGAATGTTGGGGTGAGCCCGGTCGGGGTGGGTGGAGTCTGACGTCCCCTTGTCCCTGGGCTCTCTCCAGGGGTCCCGGGGAGAGTGAGTGCCTGCCACTGCCCTCACCTTCCGGGCAGAAGCACCCGAAGGTGCAGGAGCTGGAGCAGCTGTGCTGCGGGTTGGAGCAGGTCTTCACGCAGGCCGAGCCGCACTCCTGGTACACCTGGTTGGCTGGGCACTGACCCACGGCTGTGGGCACACACGGCTCTGGTGAGAGGTTCCCCCCCACCCCTCCCTGTCCCACCCCAGCTTGGTGGAGGACTTAGCCCAGCCTCTCCTCCATCTAGAAGCAGCAGCCGGGATCTCAGACGAGGACGGATGCAGGCGTCACATCAGGCAGTCCAGGGGCTGGGAGAGCTGGGTCTGGAGCCCTCGGCCTCCCTGCCCCCCGCCACCCTTCCCTGGACTCACAGCACAGGCCGGGGCCCCGCCAGCGGCGGACGGGCTGGCCCACCATGCTGCACCGGCGGGAGTACTCGGACAGGGTGGCACAGCTGCTGTTCTGTGGGCCTGGCTGGGTGGCTGCGGCCACGTCTGCCTGGCAGCTTAGCACGAAGGGCTCCTTGGACACGCTGCACTCGGGGGCCACCAGGGTCAGCAGCTGTGTGCAGATCTGGGCCTGGGGGGGCCGCTCAGGGTCATGGGGGCAAAGGCCACACCCCGTGCCACCATGACTGGGGAGGTCAGGGCAGGGCGTCTGTGATGGGGCTGCTTGTGGGGGACCCTGGTGGTCTCGGCGACCCTGTGAGACCTGGGGTCAGCCCCACCTGGAGCCCCCTTGCTTACATGCTGGACCTGCCGGACATGGGTGTTGGGGATGTCCTCAGAGGTGCAGATCTCACCGGGGTCGTCCAGCTTCTGGAGCGCAGCGAACTTGTGGAGTTCCAGGAACTTGCCTGGGGGTGCAGGACAGGGATCAGCACCGTGGGGGCTGGGCCTCAGAGGCACCCCTGCCCTGCCCCCCACCTAGAGGCCCCCCAGCCCTGTCCTCCACCTTGAGACCCTCAGCCCTACCCCCACCTACCCTTGTTGCTCAGAACAGAGGCCCCCACCAGCCCTGGCCCCCACCTACCCTCCTCACTGACAAACTCATTGGTCACCTTCCCGTCAAAGTTCCCGCAGAGCCCACACATCTGGCCCATGTACTTCCGCTCCACCAGAACCTGCGGGAGACGGCTCTGCTGGGGGCCAGGGAGCTAGGGGACCGGGGTGCCCCTCATCCGCTGTGGAGGGCTCTCAGTTCCTGCTCCTGGACCCAGAGCCCCCACCATCCCCCCACCCTGTTCGTCTGCTGCTTCTTGTGGGAGCCTAATTTTCCAGTGGAGAAGCTGAGTCACCCACAAAACCCAGTCCTAGCTCATGTTACTGGCCAGGGGTCAGCACTGCTTGGCACAAAGGGCCTGGCTGCATGGCAGCCTGAGGGCTGGCTGGGATCCCCAAGGAGGGCAGCCCCTCCAGAGTCCCACCTGCCCCCCCAGTGCTGTGGGTCTCCAGGCCCACCCTGGCCCCTCTCTCCTCACCATGAGGTGGCTGTCAGGGCCCCACACGGCCTCCAGCTCTAGCTCCAGCTGCTTGGCCACCAGCCGCACACTCTGGCCAAAGGGTGTGATCTGGAGCCCATTGCTGGTGTAGGGCAGGCTGATGACCCTGTGGGGCGAGGGCAGTCGGTGGTGGCCCCTCAGTCCTCTGGCCCCCGGGCCCCAGCCCACCTGGCCTACCCGATGTCCTTGACTGAGATGGTGGCTTCGCTCACGGTGACGATGGAGGCCCCCAGCTCCACGATGATCCGCGAGATGTTCCCGTCTGGACCTCGCCGCAGCTGGACACTGAAGGTGGGGAAGGCGTCCTTGCACGTGGCCGCGAAGATGTAGTTGCACGTCCCCGAGAAGTCGTACACATGGTGGTCGAAGGTGGAGAAGTGACCAGCCCCCCACGTGGAGCACTGGCCTTTGTCCGGGGCTACAGAGATAGCAGTGCTGACACAAAACCCTGTGTCCCCACCATCCTGGCCGGGCAGGGCTAGGGCAGGCAGAGAGGTCACTCATCTCCCTGGGCCAGGGTTTTAGAGTTGGGGCCAGGCTGTGGAAACCCCGGACATGGGCATCTGAGTGAACCTGAGTGCTATGGTATATGCCTGGCCAGGAGTCAGCACTGCTGTGGGCATATGTACACACGTGTGTGTGTGTACACGTATGTGTGTGTTGGGGGTGTGTGCATACGTGTCAGGTGTGTCCATGCGTGCATTGGGAGTGTGTGTGTTGGAGAGCTGTGTAGGCGTGTACAATATATACCTGCATGTGTAGTGGGTGTGATTGTGTGTGTTGTGTGCATGTGTGTGTTGTTTGTGTGAGCTGGGCATGTGTGTTGAGTGCATGTGTGTGCATGCTGGGTGTATGCGTGTGTGTGGGTGTGCATGTGTGTGTTGGGCACGTGTCTCAGGTGTGTGTAGGGTGTGTACAATGGTGCATGTGTGTGTAGGGTTGTGTGTTGGGTGCGTGCACATGTATAAGTCATGCATGTTGTATGTGTGCACGTTTGCATGTCTGGGATGTGTGTGCGTGGGTGTTGGGTGTGTATGTGTTTGGCTGTGTTGGGTGTGTGCATGTGTATGTCAGGAGTGTGTGTAGGTCGTGTGTGTTGGTTGTGTGTTGGGTGTGTGTGTGACGTGTGCTCATGCATGTGTCATGTACATGTGTATGTCAGGTGTGTGCCTGTGTGTTGGGTTGTGTGTGTGTAGTGGGTGTGTGTGTATGTGTATGTCGGGTGTGTGTAGGTCGTGTGTGTTGGGTTGTGTGTGTAGAGTGTGTTGGGGGTGTGTGTGCATGTGTGTTGGGTTTGTGTGTGGAGTGTGTGTTGGGTGTGTGTGTAGGTCGTGTTGGGTGTGTGTGCATGTGTGTTGGGTTGTGTCTGTGTAATGTGTTGGGTGTGTGTGCATGTGTGTTGGGTTGTGTGTAGTGTGTGTTGGGTGTATGTAGTGTGTGTTGGGTGTGTGTAGTGTGTGTTGGGTGTGTATGTGACGTGTGCTCATGCATCTGTGTCATGTATGTGTGTCAGGTGTATGTGCATGTGTATGTTGGTACGTGTGCGTATGTTGGCATATGCATGTGTGTTCATGTTTGTTGGTGCATGTATGTGTGTGTATGTGTGTTGGATGTGTGTGTCTTGGGGGGCCCTCTCTCCTGCACACCGGACCTGGGTGGTCTGGGCGGCAGGATCAGTGGCCGCTGCGCTCTTACCTGTCTGTGGAGAGTCCTTCAGCCTCCAGAGGCCTGGGCTGGTGTAGGAAGTGTCGGCCAGACCTGTGTGGACAGGACCCGCGGTTGGTGTGGGGCTGCCCTGTTGTCCCTGAGGGCGCCGCTCACCTCTGCCCAGGGCTGCTCTGCCTGTGCCCCTGCACACACTCGGAGTGCGAGAAGCATCCATGGCTCGTGGGGCTCAAGGCCTCAACAGCAGGCCAAGCGCTCGGCCTCTCGTGTTGTCCTTCATGAGCCCCGGCTTCCTTCCCTGCTTTCATTCACTTCCTCGTTCGTCCACTCAGTCCCAGTTCAGCCGTCAGCCCCTTGGGGTTCAGCAGATGACGGGCACCCTGTGTGCAGGGTACTCATCCCTGGGGCTCCTGGGCAGGGCGAGGAGGGGCTGGTGTGGGTGGCAGGGGCTTGAGAGTGGAGCCAACAGAACGGGCTGTGCCCACCTCCCCAGCTTGGCCACCTGGTTTCCCTGAGGGGTCTGTGCCAAGGCCCCACGGCCGGTTCTCCCTGCCCTCAGTGGCTCTAAACATGGCCACTTGCCTGCACGTCAGCCTTGAGACAGCCTTGATGTCAGGCCTGGCACCGAGGCCACTGTTGTCAGAGAAATGTCCAGATAGCCCAGTCATGGTGACTCCAGGGCAGGGCAGCGGGGGATGCCCCACTCTGACTTGCGGAGGCTGGGGTGGGGCCGACACCCCCCAGGTCCCATCCCCTTTACCCGGAGGGAGACCTTCTACCACCTCTGGGTAACTCCCCGGACCCTGCCTCTGGGACTGTGGCCCTTCTTGTGGCTCCCATGGGCCGCCGATGTCTGAGTACTGGTGGGGCACCTGAGCAGGACCCGTGACCTCTCCAGATCCCTCTCGGGGCCGGGACCCTCCTTGTCCCTGCCCATTGGTTAGCAGGGCACTCACGGCACCTCCCTCCAGACGTAGCTCTGACATCCTGTTCCTGCCACTCCCCACCTGCGCTCCCACCCCCGGCTCTGCCCACTTTCTGGGACTGACTTGGTGCTGCCCCCGTTACTGCTGGACACCTGTGTCTCCGGTGACGCAGGGGCAGGGGCCTGTCAGCTGGGGCATGGTGTTACCCACGGTCCAGGGAGGAGCCAGGCTGCCTGCCCCTTGGCCGCCTGGGTGAGTCCTCTCTGGCACAGGCAGAAGTTGTTGGATATTTGAGTGACTGGATTTAAGGAGAATGCTAGTCTAGGCTGTGGGGGACACACATTTGGCTGTGGTCCCCTTTGGCCTTGAGATCGTTTTCTGATGGGCTGCACCTGGCTTATCCCCAATGTAAGCTGAGTTTACTCCAGACTTGGGTGGGGGTGGCTCATGCTGGGCCCTGAGCCTGGCGAGCACCCACCCCTCACCCATCCCTTTCCTGGGGGTCCCAGCAGGTGTCGTGGTCCTCAGCCCCTTGCCATTCCTTCCAGGGATGATCCATGGGGCTCAGAAGCACCTGTTGTAGGAGTGTGCAACACACGGAACCCTCAGCCACGGAACTCAGTGGTTCCTGGGACGGGGCCCTCACTGGCCTCTGGTGGGGGAGGGGTGGGAGAGCTCTGAGCAGGAGGAGGAGTCGGCTGCCCGCCCCTAGGCCAGCACCTCTGGAGGCTGCAGAGCTGTGACAGGTCTCCCCTGGGCAAAGCCCCCTGCAACTCAGTTTCTCCACCTTTCAGATGGGGGATGGCACTTGGTGGCCGTCCCCGCTGCAGCACAGACACCTCAGGCCCGTGTTTCGGTGCCCTCGGCCCTGCCAGGCTGGCTCCACTGTCCCGGGTGGGAGCCTCATTGCTGCGTCCTCTGTGCCCCCCACCACCCTCGCCCTGCCCCACCCGCAGGAGGTTCCCTGGGTCCACTGGCTCCAAGTCGGCTGCCTCCAGCTCTGTCTGAAGCCCAGCGGGAGGCTCCTACGTTCCTGCCCAGACTGGCTGTGCTTCCCCTTGGCTCATCCCTCGGCCAGGCCCATGGGCCTCTGGGCGGGTTGGTCTGCCACCCCCGGCCTCTCAGCCCCTGGACGAGCATGAGGCGGCAGGTGCGCGCTGTTCCTTCTGCACGCTTGGCGGCCACCCACCCCTGCCTCCCGGCCCACTGTGGCCCAGGCCTGCAGCACAGCTGCCCGACTCCACACTCTGCCGGCTGAGGCCCCTCCCGTGCTGGCAGAGGCGATGCTCAGAGAGCATTTGCTGGGGTAACTGGCGGACACCCCCACTTGGCCCTCCACCCTCTGCACTGCCCACAGCCCAGACTTCCAGGCTCCCTGGGCCTCATCACACCTCCCTCCCTGGCTCCAGGGTGGTGGCCCGAGGGACTGGGGGTCGTGCTCTGCTGCACGTTCAGCCCCACTTTCTGGCACTTGTCCCCAAGCTGTGCCAGGTGTGCAGGTGGGGGCCGGGGTCTCAAGCAGAGGGTACTGCTGGGAGGGCTCAGAGACCCCCACATCTCCCACTGTTGAAGGGTGGTGCCCGGTGTGGTGGGGAAGGGGCTTCAAGGGAGAGAAGGGGTGGGGCGGGTTTGGGGCACCCCTGGGGGGGTCCCACTGTGCTCTGAGCCCGAGGCCCCAGGTTGGCAGCAGCTCCGAGGGCGAGCTCTGTCCGGCCAGCGTCCACCCCAGGGGACTCCCGGCCGTGGAGGAGGGTCAGGGGCCAGCTTGGAGAGGAAGGAGGAGCACGGAACACAGAGGCCCTTGGGCTGGTGCCTTGGTCGGCAAGAGGGGTCTCCCCAGGCCTCAGGCTGTGGCCACAGAGGGACCCCTTGGGGCTGGCTCCTTCTGGGGGCCTGGGGCAGGACTGGTGGCCACCTGCAGCAGCCGCAGGGCAGGTGGTTGGCAGAGGATCCAGGATGTCAGTCCCTCCTGGATCTTGCCTGAGCTGGGTAGGGGAGCGTGGGGGAGAGGGCAGGCTGCCTGCGGCGGTTCTGAGCCCAGAATGGCTGCGCACCTTCCCCTCCCTTCCCCCCACGGCGGCCACGCCAGGGGAGGCAGCACCCCCCACTTCTGTAGACTAGGAAACTGAGGCCCACGGCAGCAGGGACTGGGCCTCTGTCCCCCACACTCCAGAGACCTCTCGGGACTCAGGACCCCACTGGGGGAGGGAGAGCGCCAGGCCTGGGCACCAGCACACCTGCCCACTGTTCCTGCGGGACCTCCGGACCCCATTCCAGCCGAGCGTCCTCCCCTGCTAGCCGCTGTGTCAGCCCACAGGAGGGCGTCCCTGCCCAGGCCCCATGGGGTCCCTGACCCCAACTGGCAGAGCCCAGCGCTGAGGCTGCGAGGGGGACCCGGGCGCGGCAGCGGGGGCTGGTCACGGAGCCGAGGTGGGGCCTTGTGTCCATCAGCGTCCACGTGGGCCAGCCCAGTTGGCAAGGCAAGAAGGCCCAGGGCCCCTCTGAGGGCACCGCGGTGTCCGGCACCCCTCGGCCTCACTCACCAGTGCTGAGCAGGGCTCCGCAGCAGGACAGCAGCAGCCACGGCCGGAGCATGGTGCACCGTGGAGAGGAGCTCGCGCTGGGCCCGGCAGGCCTGCTGCTGCCACCCTGCGGCTCCAATGGCCAGTCCTGGGAGCCTTATATAGGGTGGTGGGTCCTCCCCCGCCGCACCCGCCTGCGCCCCACGGTCCAGCCCCTTAATCACCACTGCTGGCGGGTGCAGCGGTGGCCAAACAGGATCTAGGCCTGCTTTATCAGGACTCGGCTTTCTTTGGAAAATCCTGCAGGCAGCGGTCCCATTATCACCCACTCCCAGCGGGGGCTGACGCACGCACACCCCCAAAGGCCCTGCAAACACCCCCCACGTCGGGCCATCCCGGCCGGGCCCTCCCCGCTGCTGGGTCAACGTGGGCCCTGTCAGCCACACGCCTGGTGGCCGGGACGGGCCTGCTGGGGGAGGTAGGGGCCCTGGGGCACCTGCTCTGCCCCTTCTGGGGGGACCAGTGCTGACCCAGCTGGGGGGAGCCCTGCTACACCTGAATCCCAGGGCCCCCGAAGGGCACTGGGCCCACCCCCACCCTGAATCCCAGGGCCCCCGAAGGGCACTGGGCCCACTCCCACCCTGAATCCCAGGACCCCTGAAGGGCGCTGGGCCCACCCCTCACCCTGAATCCCAGGACCCCTGAAGGGCGCTGGGTCCGCCCCTCACCCTGAGTTCCCTGCCCAGCAAGAAAGATCACCCAGCAGGAGGGACCATGCCAGGGGGCGTTGAGGACTGGGTGAACCCTGCCAGGGGGCATTGGGGAGCAGGGGATTTGCCATCTGGGACAGACAACAGCCTTGGGGCTCAAACAGGCTGCCCTGGAGGCCTGAGGACCTACCGTGTCTCTGTAGCCCGCGAGGTCCCAGGCTCGCTCCTGAAGACCCCTCCACAGCTATTTTCTTCTCCCCCGAGCACTGTCGGCGGCCGTCTTGGGCACAGAAGCTCAGGGGCCGCTTGTCTGCTGGGGCATCTGTGCAGGGCTGTGGGGTCGCTGGTGTGCTCCTGACCCATTCAGGCAGAGGGGCAGGAACTGGGATGACCAGGGGGGCTCACCTGTGGAGGCACGTGCCACGCCTGAGGGGCCAGGGCAAGGTCTGGGGACATCGGGGTGGTGCTGGTGGCTGGCAGTGTGGGAGGGAGGTGGAGGTCTGAGCGGTCGCCAGGATTGCCCCAGCCTCGTTTGGTAGCCCAGGGACCCCTCCCGCAGGGGATTTTGGCCCCCTACAACAGGAGCCCTTGCTGGCCTTGGGGCCATTCCCACCACATGCCAGCATCCCGGCCTGAGCCAGGAGGGCCCCGAGGCCACCTGGTCTCCCTGGGCTGGGCTTCCCACATGGGGCTGCACCCCTGTCCCACAGGTGAGCTGAGCCCGCTGGCTGGGACCGGGGCCTGCCACCTCTGTCCCACCTGTGCCCACTCGCCGGGGAGCTGCCCCGCCTGCCCCGGAAGAGGCTCCAGGGCCACACGTGCCCCACGCGGTAGGTGTCAGGTGTTTCACTTAAATCAGCTTGTTTTGCAGAACGTTGCTTGAAATTAGAATAAGTTGTTTTCGTAGGAAATTGCTGTACGTGTGCTACCCACCCCGAGAGCCCCACACCAGGCATTCTGGGTGTTCCTGCTCTCATCTGTTCTTTTTATTTTTTATTTTTGTAGAGACGAGATCTCACTTTGTCCAGGCAGGTCTTGAACTTTCTGGGCTCAAGAGATCTCCTGCCTCAGCCTCCCAGAGTGCTGGGATGACAGGCGTGAGCCACTGCATCTGGCCTTGGCTGTCCCTTCTTAACACGCTCAGTGGCCCCTGTGGTTCAGGTGAGAAACTGAGGCACAGGAGTGAGGCCCTTGTCCTGTCATGCTGAGGCTGGATGGACACAGGGCTCACAGCTGGCCCTTGTTCTGAGCTGGGGCCTCTCAACCCGGGCTTGAGGTGGAGACGAAGAGGGGCCGAGATCTTAGGGCCCCCTTCCCTGGGTGGGGTCACTGCACCAGGGCAGCTGGTACTGAAAGGGGCCTCATGGGCAGGTGGCATGGCTGGGAGCCCTGTGGCCGCATCAGCCCAGCAGTTGTGCTTGTCTGACCGCCTGTCTGGGCTCATGAGAACCCTGACCTTGAAGGGCAGTTATGGCCGTGACGTTCAGCACGTGAGTCCCCAGCGTCCCCTAGAATTGGGGGATCCCTGCAGCTTGCACAGGTGTGGGGCGGGTGGGGGCTGGATGCCACCAGCCTGAAATGGGGCTGCCCACTGGGCCTGTGGTGAAGATGCCCGCTTGCAGGCATGTGATGCTTGTGCGTGTGTGTGCCTATGCATGTGTGTACGCGCATGTGTGCCTGTATACCTGTGTCTACGTGTGCCTGTGTGTGCGTGTGTGTGTGCCTGTGTGTGCATGTGTGTGTGCCTGTGTGCACGTGTGTGTTCGTGTGTGTGCATATGTCTGTGCCTGTGTGCGTGTGTGCACGCCTGTGTGTGCATGTGTGTGTGCCTGTGTGCATGTGTATGCATGTGTGCGTGTGTGTGTGTGCCTGCGTGCACGTGTGTGTGCATGTGTGTGTGCCTGTGTGTGCATGTGTGTGGCTGTGTGCATGTGTGTGTGCCTTTGTGTGCATGTGTGTGTGCATGCATGTGCGCACACGTGTGCCTGTGTGTGCATGTGTTGAATTTCCGGTGAAAACTCTGCATCCCAGAATTTATTGTCCCCATGATCTCAGGGCCACTCAGGGGTGTGTAGAAGGCCCTGGCCCTGAGCCCTGGTGGGGGCTCCATCGTGGCACCATGGGGTCTCCGGAGCCTGGGGGTCCCTCTCTCCCAATGCACTCGCTTGGTGGCAAATGGCTGGGAGCGGCATTTCTGTCCTGGCCGGGGAGCGCTTGAATGCGCTGAGCAATGGGGGAGATAAGCGTGTGAGGTGTTGTTCCTGGAGCAACCTGGTGATAGGAGCCATATCTCCGCCTGGCTGGAGAACAGGGCCTGAGGACTGGACAAGTGGGCGATTGTCCCGTGTCATGCCCATCGCTGGCCCTGCCCTCTACATCCATCTGTGTGGCCTGGCCCTGAACAGCGGTCACTCTGGGCCTGGCGTGGCTGTGAAGTGGGAGCACAGGGTGGGCCCCGGGTCCCAGCTTCCCGGCTAAACTGTGAGGGTGGGCGCTGTCTCCTAGACCCGAGGGGCTCCCCGGACAGGTGTGAGCAGACCTTTGCTTGGACTTGAGGCCTTCGCCCCTGCAGGTGTCTCCAGGAGGCTTCCCTCACAGGACGCTGAGGTCCTGGGTCTGCTGGGACTCGTATTCACGGAGGTGCTGGGATGGACCTGCTGGTGGCCCCCCACCCCTCGGCCAGCCCCTTCCCCGCCTCTGCCCTGCTGGGCCCTGTGGTCAGGTGTGACGTCCCCTGGAGGAGAACAGGTGGGGCTTCACCCCCAGAGGCTTGGCAGCTGGTCCCCATCAGATCAAAGCACTGAAAGCTGTGGCTTTGGGGAGTGTTTGGGAAAGATTTCAAGCCCGGGAGTGGGCACGCGCCCAGGCTCGGATCCCTGCCATATCCCGTCCGAGGCGCGGGCCCAGTGCTGGCTGGCGGAGCTCAGCATGGCCAGCCAGTGCCCAGGTGCATGCCCGAGGGGGCGCGCCACGGCTTCCTGTTGATCCGGATGCCCGATGCCTTGGGAGGCACTGACCCTATGCCAGGTCCTGGAGCCCACTGCTTGGGGAGGTGGCAGGAACCCCGAGACCCTGGGGACAGAGTGGCTGGATGCAAAGTCCCCCAAGGGGCAGGGGGATGGCAGGGAAGGGGCGTCAGGCCTGGGGGGAGGTCACCTGCCCCACCCTCCCTCCAAGGCCCTTGTGTGGCTGGGTGGGGCTGGCCCTGGGTCTTCTCCCTCTCCCCCGTCCCTGAGCGTCACTGGTGACCTCCCCGTGGGCTTGTCCAGCTTGCCAGTACCGTGTGGTTTCCTGCGGTTTTACCTCCTGAGCATGTTGAAACGCTCCTAGTCCAGTTCCTGCCTGTGGCCACCCCCATCGAATCTGGCCTGCTGTGGCCCCCACCGTGCAGCCACGCGTGTGTGGTGCCCACTCATTGTCTCCAGCACCTCAGAGGAGGCCCTGCCTGGCTCCAACACTCCCTGACCTCTGGCCTCTATTCCCCTCCTTGGCCAACTCTGCTCCTCCACCAGCCTTGCAGACCCGCCACCTCAGCTGCTGGAGTCCACCCTGCTGGAGGTAGAAACAGAGCCAGCTGCGTGCCACAGGTGAGGGCCTTCCCCAGGGCCTGGGGAGGGGCAGCATGACCCCGGGAGGGCAGCTGCAAGGGCTGGGCAGTGCAGCTCACCCGGGCGACCACCAGCCCACCCTCCTCAGTGAGACCCCACAGCCCCTGTCCAGTGATGTTCGAGGGCCAGGGCTCCCCGGGCATCCACCTGTCTGCACTTTCAGACTTGACTGCTTGGTGCCTGGGCTGGGATCTGGGGGCACTGCCCCTCCCCATATCCCTGGGACCCCCTTCAGGAGCCAGACACTCGGGTGCACACAGCCCCCACCCCCAGCCCAGCCCCAGCCCTGTGCTGTCCGCTGCCCACAGTCCACTGTGTGGCTTCGAGTGGACCAAAGGTCTTGTCTGGCTGCAGGAGGGGCCCTGGTAGTTGCTGGGCCTGGAGGTCGCTAGGATGCTGGGCCTGGAGGTGGCTGGGATGCTGGCCTGGCCCCCACGTCCAGGGCGGGTTGAGGAGTGGCCAGCAGGAACCACTGCCTGAGGCTGGGCTCAGCCCAGGCCGGTAGACTCACGTTCCAGAAAGGGCTGGGGAACTTGCCACCTGCCCTTCTCCAGAGACGGGCCCTTGTCCTTTTTGTCTACTTATGCCCGGTGCAGGAAGCAGGTCAGGGTGGGCCGGGGCCCTCAGGAGCAGACGCATTTCAGCCGGGGGCGGGGGCAGGATACGGGCTGCTGGGGCCATTGATGCAGCACCACAGGAGGGGTCCTGGCCAGGCCACCCCTCCCTCCAGGTGGGAGCTTAGCTGGGGCGGGACCCCCACCTCCCTGGGTGAGCATTGCCGGCCGGTAG